AATGAAAGTTCTCGTCGTTTCGACGACGGTTGCCACCGATCGTTTTCCAAAAAAGCAATTACGCCGGTGCCGACGACAGGAATAGGATAGAATTTTTCAAACACGGCAACAAAGTCCGTTGTGGAAATACGTCAAGGGTATAAAAATTTTAACCGGGCATCAGCACGAATACCCATTCGTGCTGATGCCCGGTTAAAATTTTGTTTACCCAAACGTACGAGAAGGTATTGTTTGTTGTCGGCCGTTTACGCGTACGACGCGTTAAACGCAAACGTCGAGGTGCCTNTTACGCCTACGACGCGTTAAACGCAAACGTCGAGGTGCCTGTAGATCGCGTTCGAGAAGCGTTGAAAACGTTAAATGCCGCTCAAGTCATATTTGATGGCAGTACTATGTATTCATTCAGAGGTTCTAATAGCGATATAGAAATCGACATAGAAATATTACGTCACTGAATAATATAACATCGATTTGCATTCCTCGTTTGTCGGGCATCGATGAATCGGATAAATTTAATAATATGAAGTACGGGTGTCTACCGACACATTATATACCGACAGAGGTATAAGACTTATCTCGAGAACTTCCCCGCGCGCCCCGCGCAGAGGATGCGGCGTCGTACGGTGAATCGTACAATTTCCACGTCATGCCAACAAAAAGACAACCGAGTTTTAGCTAATCTGGAAAAAATCTGTGATTCGATCCAAGACGAATACAGTTCCTTTGTGGTAACGTCCCATCGGACAAGGGAACAATTACTGTCCGCTTATTAAGTATGAAATAATAAAAGAATAATTCATAGGTAACATTACATAACATTAGGTAACATACGTGTTTATCGCGGAATGCAGGACCGATTAATTTAATAACAATCAATATCGTGTAAAAATATTAAACATTTGTATTGCGTGTATTTAGAAATTATAAACGTATGACGAATAAACGCGTATTAGTTATTTTTTTAGGTGAAATTTTTTTTATAATACCGAATATTACAATACGCAACAATACGTTTAACGTTATTGGTATGTTAAACGTATAACGTATATTATAATATATACGTATATACGTATATTATAATATATACGTATATGTATATCGGTATAATTTGGTTTTAATACGTAAAAATTGTTTTTTTATAGTCCAAGGAGCTTAGTCTAGTAGCGGCGAATCTCGTCGTAATCGTTGTAATAATAATAATAACAACAAAAACTCTTTCCGAGTCGCTTGCGGTCGGGTTTAAATTTAATGACGGCTTATTGTCAATTTTTCCCTTTGTCGGTTATTCATTACGCGATTCGTGCGAGTATCCCACACAGAAAACTTATTCGCTCGCCTCTTGACTTTCTGTTCTCGTCCGACGATCGATTCTAACGTATTGTTGTTACAATACGTTAGAATCCCAACCCAACCAAACCCAACTCGACGTTTTATAAATCATCTCGACGGTTTATCGCGCAACGGATCGTGTGTGAAATCTATGACCGGTTTTTATACGTGAAAGATTCTAAACGCTCTACGTTCTCCTTACAAATACAATCTACCCTTATATATTACAACGGTAGTTCGTAATGTATTATAATAATTATATTACTAATATTTTTATTGGACAAAATTTAAATTTGTTCATAAAATTAGACCGTATTAATACAAGTATATTTTATATACTCAAAGTATATTTTATATACTCAAAGTATATTTTGGGCTTGGACGCGAACCCGTCGAGGTATTAATTTTACTGTGACGTGTTATATATCAGCTCTCGCCGGACCGATTTCGATCTCAGCTCTCGCCGGACCGATTTCGATCTCAGCTCTCGCCGGACCGATTTCGATCTCAGCTCTCGCCGGACCGATTTCGATCTAAACAACGCCGCGAATCGCATCCGGTCAAAGACGCTGATTACCCTCGAAAACTGAAAAAAAATTCCCTCGTTGCCCGTATTTATACTCGAATCGGTGTCGATCTCTCGACGCTGATATTTCTTAATGCCAACTCGACCAAAACGAGATTCAAAAATATTCCAAGTCCAAAGCGATTGAACAAACGACCGAGTGCCGCCGGGGAGAATCTGTGATTTCAATTTTATTCCGTACTATATATATATTTTAATGTAATTATAAGGATAATTAATGTATAAGGATAATAATTATCCTTATATTATCGTTTTAATAGAAAATAATAATTATTTTCTATTAAAACGTTTAAAAGTATATTTATAGAAAGACGCGCCTTAAAAATTAATGTTAATTAAAATGTGAATGAAACGATTCACAATTATCGATGCACTTGGTTTCGATTATTCGAATACCCGGGCGGCACATTAGAACGGGGGAGTATCAACAGAGGTGGTAATGTTTTTGACTCGGCCGGTTCGAACGAGACTCGAAATTTCAAAATTATTTTCTCGTCGCGATTTTCTTTAGCCGTACGGTGGCCGCGTATTGCAAAAAAACAAAATTTGTTCTGTTTAAACACGCACTCGATATAACACGCTCGAGCCTCGTGCTACAATATAAATATAATATTTTTTGTAAATTTTTCACCGTGTTAGTGTGATTTAAAAAACGATTGCGTCACAAAAAGTTGGCAAACATTACCGCGATATTATTTTTTTAGCATTTATATCGCGGTAATATCCAAATAGACATCGAAATCGTCGAATAGTATTTAGATATCATCGTTGGAGTTATTTCGTTGGACGACCTTTGAATATCCTCCGAGCGACCGATCGTTTAATTAACATCATTTTTATTAAACATCATATAAACATCAGTTATCGCCGCTTATTTAACCGCAATGAAATCGCCATTGTCGTCGTGTTCGATCGTCGTCGTAACGCTTCTGGCGGTCTGTCGTTTTTCCGACGCGTTCGATTGGGAAAATCATCCAAACGGCCAACTCGTCAAGTCCGAGGTGATATTCAGCCTTCCCCACAATGTCGTGTTCGGCACGATTAACGGCGGCAACGTTGACGCGTCGAAAATCCCGTGGGCCGCGAGAATCAGGTCGTACAAACTGCTGTACGTGTTGGCAAAGTACTGTGAGTACACGTTCTGGATAAATTCGCCGAGCCATATCAGTAGCGCGATTAGCACGCCGACGAAGAAAGTCATCGATTTCATGAAACGTCACAAAACGGACATTTCCAATCTGGAGCAACTGTTGAACGACACTTTTTCGAATCCAAATCACGCGAACGCCGACAAGAATCTGACCCTCAAGTTGCTGTTGAGATTCCAAAAAGGCATTTATAATCTGTTGTTTAGCGACGTGACGACGTTCAACGCTTTAATGTTGAATGTGACGCTAAACGAAAATTTCTGCGTCAGACTCGAACAGGCGATTAAAGCGTGGACGTTTTTCGACAACTTGGCGGACGACGAGGAATCGACAAAATATATCCCTGCGAATTTCGAACAGAACTGTATGTTTCCGACGCAATATTTTTACAACAAAATCATAGGCGAGCACAAGAAGCCGAAAAAAAAAGAAGAAGAAGAAGAAGAAGATAAAAAAGAAATTATAACATTCATATGAAAAATTAATTTTATTAAAACTATATGTAATTAATAAAATTAAAACTATGTGTAATTAATAAAATTAAAACTATATGTAATTAATTTTTACTCGCCTAATATTAAAATATGAAAAATTATTTAAACGAAACTAAAAACGTTGAAAATTTTACTATTAAAATCGAGTAAACCCGTGACTTGACACGGGTTTGACGATTTTTCATAATTTAAAAATTCAAGGTAATTAGAAATTCACGGTAATTAGAAATTAAATCAATACCGACGATGTGCATCGGTATTTATGTTATGTTAAAATCGTGCGATTTTAACATAACATAAAATTGTATTCTCGAGTTATTCGTCGTTATATTTAGTATAAATTAATTGTTGGATAAAAAATTTATAATAAAAAAGTATTCGATGATGATCTACCGTCTCGTTTATAAATATTTTCAACAACACGTAAATTTTATTTTATTTTACCTAAGTTTTATACGATTTCGCAACTATATT